ACGCAGAAACACGTCCACGCCTGGGGCTCGCCTGCCATTCCCACACAAGAGAGCAACAGGAATCGGAAGTCCAGGGCTCCGTCTCTCGCCGGGGAGCGTGGGTGGTGTTGTTTTTGTGGGGGTGGGAGAATTGAGTGAAACACGCGTCGTTCCCCACCCACCCCACGATCATTTCACTCGCTGTCATCGACCGATCGATTATTCAACGAAACATCATGGAGAACCGTTCCAGTTCCTCACGGTGAAGGAAGAGTAGCACCACCTCCGCTCTCACTGAAATACTCTCCATCAATAAGACGCACAAGTCTCTCCGTCAATAAGATAGATAAATAAATAAGCCACGCAGGAAATCAATCAATAAACAAACAGAGCGATAAGGCGCCATGGGCGTCTCCGCCCACGAGCCCCGGACTCCCCTCTCCGGGCGGCAGCGGTCCGGGTCCGAGCTCGGGTTCGGGTCCGGCTGGCCGGTATGGGTATCGGTATCAGGCCGGACTCGAGGGCCTCTCCCGTCACGGTCGGACTCCACCCAGAAGGGGGGCGGGGGGGTCACAGGTCACAGGTGGGAGCTGCTGCTGAGGTACTGAGAGACGGCGACCAGGAGCAGCACCTCCCCTGTCTTCGTCGCCTCGGCCGCTGCCCCCTCTTCCTCCCCCCCCAGGAGGGGCAGTGGGGGTGAGTGGGGCAACAGCAGCCCCGGCCCTTCCTCCTGCCCCCCCTGCCCCTGCCCCTCGGGGGGGCAGCTGGCGGCGGGCAGCGCCAGTTCACACCCGGGATCCTCGGAGGCGTAGATCTGGAGACACAGCGCGGCCACCAGCAGCAGGAGCAGCCGCTGAGTGGAACCGCGGGGCTCGGCCGCCGGGGGGCGCTTCTGCACCTGGGGGAGAGAGAGGTCAGGGTCAGGGAGTCACGCTAGCTGGGGTTCGGGCTGCATGATATTAATAATAATAATACACTTCTATAGCTCTTTCCTGGACACTCCACTCAGAGCTCTTTACAGGTCATGGGGATCCCACTACCACCACCAGTGTGCAGCTCTTTACAGGTCCTGGGGATCCCACTACCCCCACCAGTGTGCAGCTCTTTACAGGTCCTGGGGATCCCACTACCGCCACCAGTGTGCAGCTCTTTACAGGTCATGGGGATCCCACTACCGCCACCAGTGTGCAGCTCTTTA